AACAACCCCCCCACACACACTACGTGTGCGTTAAGATTTTTCTTCGAAAAATCTTTCAGACTTTTTTATCAAAACCAAATCTCATGCCTGACAAAACAAAACAAAAAGTACATTACATATACAGTTAATCCTCCGACCTTTCCGTCTCCGACAACATAAAACATCTATGGGCATAATTAGCCATTGTATTAATGTCACCCGTATTGTTAAAGAAAGACGTTATGTCTGAAAAGTCTAGTCTATTGTAGTCTTCTCTTAACTGTTTCGTTTTTTGACAGAAACAAATTACATGCTCTTCCATCTGAACATCAGTTCCACATGTACAGTCTCATATTTCTGGGGCAGCGTGACCATCTCCCCGTTTCAATAGCTAGACTATGAGCACTCAGCCGTAATCGTGAACAGGCTATCCTGTCCCGTTCCCTGAGACTGTATGATGAATACATATCGTGTATAGACAAGTTAGGATTCATCTTAAACAGGCCTACCCAACTACCAGACGCGGCACCTACGAATCCTGAATAAACCGGTATATCAGACCACATTACCCGTTTTCAAGGTGTGTGTCAGATCGCATTACGGGGTATCATACCCCATCACAAATTTTGTAGGCCTACCTGTCATCCGGGTATCGCTTAGGATCATCGCTATCACATCGCGCGCCAGGCAAAATGGGTGAAGTGGCTGATACTCCGTAATGCGATCTGACACACAATGGCTTGTGATCAAGCTAATGGAATTAATTTTGGGAGACATATTTGATACAAAAAATTAAAACTGTCTTTAAATGGCTTGGTTATTTATACCAAACTTCATTCTTTTATCGCTGTTAACAACCTATCCCAGTCAACTGGCCTCCGCAATGGGACGATTTTCTTAAACTGAGCAGGCATTTTTACATGGTCAGGATTACCCCATACAACAGGTATGACAGAACATGACTGCCTGGCCAAATCTGCATCTACCGCCTGGTTGATTTCCACTGCCTTGACCTGCTCATCAAAATGCTCAGTGAGAAGAGCAATGATTTTCCGAGACTTCTTCATATTGTTTAGAGCTTCTTTCAGCTCAAAATGCCCTGGGATGTAGTCTCTAGAGGCGAAACACACCTATTCAAGATTATAAGAAAGAGAATACATTTATATGACAAATAAAATGAAAAATGACAAATTTCGTCAAAAGTTAGTATTCCTACATTTTGTAGTGTCTATTTTGTATTTGGCAAGAAACTGACCAGTTTTGTACAGGTGAGTATAAGACTTAACAACATATCCCAATGTATTTATTTATGGCCCCTCCATCCCAGTGTACCACAAACTTTCACAGCCCCATTCCCAACAAGAAAGAAGGCAACGGTTGTTTGAGATTTGGCCAAACAAGGCCGCTTTTATTATATAACCCCACTATCTTAATTATTTTAACAATGTAACAAAAGGTTGCCTGTATTAAATGTTATGGCCTAAAGGATAAAAAATATAGGCCTTTATCAAGTATTCAATACGACTCATCATCCTAAAAATTATGATACAATGAGTCAGCATATGTTTTTATTTACAAACAGGTTTGCCCAAATCTCGTTTGTGAGGTTGCAAAGAGGCCTTAAGTTGGCTTGTATTGCCTATTACTTTCTGACCAATGATTTTACTCCGTGAGGAGAGACAGTGGACGAAAAACGTTTCTTTTGCGTCTGTCAGGAATATTTCTCACCTTGAGCTCAGCCTTGTCCTCTAGTTGTGGCAAAAACTTGTCAGTTATCAACTTTTCATCTTCCTCAGATCCAGAGTAAAGGATAAAAACGTCAAAAACTGGTGTTTCTCTGGATAAGACATCTGTCATATGGCAACCAGCTGAAACGAAAAGACAATAATTTTGAATAAATGTACTCTACATGAGTACGTGAAAATACGAACAATTATCCACTACACTCACCAATAGACTGAATTTTTTTACTTTATTTTCTCTATCTCTCTCTCTCTCTCTCTCTCTCTCTCTATATATATATATATATATATATATATATATATATATATATATATATTTTTTTTTTTTTTCGTGATCGTTGGCATATCTGTCCATTGTTTTCAGCTTCTTTCATCTCCGTGAAGACAAAGCGACATGTACCCTAGTAGAATATACGGCAGTACACGAAAAATCATCACACATTTTCACAGACATTAACAATTTAAAAATTGTAAATTTATATAAATCTTTTGCCTTCTTTTAGTTAAATGGTCTGCCTGCTGATAATTCCACTTACCTTCTATTTTACCCCATGCTATTTTGGGAATGATCTTTGGATCAACAGATCGATTATCGCCAAATCGAACCTCAAACTTGGCTGTCTTCAATATCTGAACAACTGCTTGGCCCAGCCGGTTTGAATGAAGGCAACATAACCTCAGTTTAGGTAATTTTGCTAACTTTTCTGCAGGAATATGTTGCAGGCGATTTTCTGACACACAAATAACCTCAATGGACTTCATATTTCCGAGAGACTCTGGGAGACGCCTTAATTGGTTCTGTTTCAATCTGATGTACTTCAGATTCTGAAAGTAGAGGTAGATGTACAAAGGCCTAAAATTTCTTTGATGGTGCTTGGCTCTTTATTATTATTATTTTTTTTATCATTCAGCACTGGTGATTCAATAATGTCATGTCTATATCCATTAATGCAAGCAATGAATACCTAAAAAATCCATCAAATTGACTTTTCGTTTTACTTCCAGGTCTATTCAAGGTCGCTTACAATAATGGCAAATAAACTGTGTGCGTACCTGTAGCTGATCAATATCATCAGGTAAAAACTGTAATTCATTGTAGGACCCGTCGAAAATGATCAATTCTTTCAACTTGAGGATGTTTTGAGGCAAGGTCCTGATATAATTGGCGTTTAAATACAGCGCCTTCAGCTGCGAGCCTTTGAAGTCCAGGTGCCCTAAAACAGTTTTATTTCAGAATTTACGTGCTTTGTAATGTTAAATAATAGTAATCCATTTTTATAGTATATCTGTAATATGCGTATAGTTGGTTTAGTGGTACGGGTGTCATGAGATAATACACGTACGACATTTAAATCACTCTTTGACTGAATACGCCGATTCATTTAACTCTTTTTATAGTCTAGCGTTCATTTCTTTCTGATGAAAACTGACATGGAACAAAGTTTAGAATAAAGCCCACCAAAAGGGGGAAAACATAGCTGTTGTATTTAACGGCGAAACGCTTGTATGGTCCTCCGGAAAATTTATTGTTTTTCTCTTTCAATGCATTCCACAAAACTTTCATGTTATACAGTAAAGTATAGAAGACATGGTGTCGTAACCGTGGACGGTGGTTTTACACCATACCCCCCCAGTAACTACTGAAGGAGATATTTTTACGTGAAATACTTGAAAAATCCATAAAGCTTAAAACTCTGTCATCTTAGTGCTTCTCACGCTTCGGTTTTCATAGAAACTGACGTTTTCATATACTCGACTATAAACCACTGTAAAATTATTTATTAAGATATTCAACTTTTTGGTCTTAATTTATTTTAATATTAAAAGTTTTTGGCATAGTTCTCTACAATAGGTTAAAAAGAAGTTAAGTGTGAGGAAGTCATGTTCCAATGCCCCTGATTTTTTTACAAAGATTGGTACTTAAGTTTATACATGTATATGTAAAGGCAACATGGTAGGCCTACAAAAAAGGTGAAAAGTATTTCTGACAACTTGACACGACCTATAATGGTAAGCCTATATTCAAGTAGGAGTCTACAATGCGTGGATAAACACACCTCAATCTAGGTCACATAGAGGAAACGAACATCTGAAATATAAGCAGACGTAATTTTACGTACCTATTCCATCATCTGTCAGTTGATTCTTGCTCATATCGAGATGTTCCAGTCCTCGTAATCGAGCTATGACGTCAGGGATCTTCGTAAAACGATTACCTCCTAGTTGCAACTTTTTCAAATTTTGCAAGACTCGCATTGCGTCTGGCAGATCCACCAGGTTATTACCTGTTACATAAAGACACTCCAAATTCTCCGTGAAGATGCAATTCTCTCCGTGCAAGTTGGGGATACAAGGCAGCTTCAGAAAACTCAATGACAATACTTGTAGTTTGGGCATGCTAACGAGGAGGTCCCAAACTTTGTCATAATTTTTCTCTTGAATGATTTGATCGACATGTTCCTCTGGTAAATCAGATGAAACAAAAAGCTCGATAAGACGATCGGGATTAGCGCAGCCATCTTTGTCAAAGAGAGGCGACAATGGCTCGCCTTCTCTAATGTCGCGTTGAAACTGGTACTCATGCACACAACCGAAAAATTTCTGGTCTCGAATTACTTTCACCACAGCAGATTCGTCTCTGTCATTGCTTACTGAACTCTCAGTAGTTTCAGTTGAGAGCTTACTGTGCTCCACATCATACATTTTGCTACACAACTGAAGAGAGTGGAGTTATTACTCGCAGACTTGCCGTAGGCATTATGACGCGTGAGAAATTTCCACAAAAATACCGAGCAATGTTTTGTAATGCTAAAATGTGATCCGTAAATAGCAGTGCGGTAAATCCAATATTCATACAAAAATAAATATAAGACAAGTTCAGCACCTTTTGTGTTGTGACCTGTGCATTCACTTTTTCCAAAGCGCTATTTTTAGAATAGTCGTGGTAGATAAATAAGTCTCTTTCGGAAATATCCTGTGCTCGTTATTATTTACTTGTGTAGTGACTACATTATCGTAATTTAAATAAGCTCTGGTAGATTGAGAGATCTAAACAGATGTGGTTCACAGACATAAACGTTTGAGCAAATTAAAGCGAGTCAAGTCCATAATATAAGGACAAAAAAAGAATTTCTCAGCGATTTTCTTTTCAGATCCAACGTTAACGTATTGTTTCCTGAAACAATAAAAAATGAACGTTAATCAATTAGTTTTGAACACTTTTTTAGATGAAATATCGCCCATTTATTACAATTCTTCAAAATGGCAAATCAAATGGACAAGGTGCACTAAAAAGTCATTAAATTGCTATAAAAAAAATCAAATGAGTGACATATTACCGTCAGCTTAGTTGGACTGAAAGCTCCGTTTTAAAGTTTCAGATCAACCAAGAAAATTTTGACCTGGATAGAAATATGATTTGTCTGTTTTGGGGCGAGCGACGCAGGAATCTAAAAAAAAGTGCTCCAAACAGAGCAGTCACTTTTTCAAATATCATCCCCCAAAGCTTTTTGTTTTTTAATGATCGTGTTGCACTGTAACCTTTTACATTAACATGCATCTTGTCAGGTATTTTCCGACCAAATCGAATTTTCCTTGAAAAATAACTAATTTTCTCCTACCAACAAATCATTGTTCGACCCTTCCCTGCATTTGGAGTGGTTTTATATCATTTATAATCAAATAATTTACTTCTGAATGTTCCTCGTAACGTTTTCACCGCCATAGTCTTCATGTACGATTCAGTTACTTTAATTTGAGGGGTAACATATATAGTTTTTTAAGGTCTGAAATAGAAAAATTGAATGTGATTTACAAGCTCCGTAACATGAACAAAGAAAAAAGAAACCATTTTTTAACGCTTCTTGTAATCAGAAACTAGTTTCAGTTTTCAAAAACGATTCTGAGAAGTCATGATCGTTCTGCGGTGGGAAACAGGAGTACGAAGGGAGAGGCGACTAGCGATCAGTGTATACCGCGACCAGATAACCTTCACTGCGGAAGATGTGCTGAATAATACTTGTACTGATTTTTTACACATGTTCTACATTTTTTACGAATTTCAGTTAGATTTATGCAATTAACGGTTACTGCAGGTGATTTAATTAAACAAAGCGCCAAACATTTTCTTTCAGAATTTTCAAAACGAGAAACTTGATATAATACAAATATAGACCAATTCTTAAAATTACCTTGCTCAGTTTTAATATGTGTCTTTTATTCGTGCATCTAGACAGTTAAAATATAAATTCTGCAGAGTTTACTTATGAAAAATTCAATAAACATGTGAAACATTTTCCTGTAAGTGTCCATCTATGTTTCAAGAAGAAAGAAAGAAAGAAATATCAATAACCTTACGGTTTCGCTGTACCGTAAGACCGTAAGATTGCATGTGATACCTGTTTTTTCTATCAAAATCCCTCCCCAGTCCGTTCATTCGACCTACGGAAGCTGATTTATATGACCAGTCACGTAATATCAAGTATGTTGACTTTGAAAATACGATTTTATTTTTATTTATCTATTTTTGTTTTGTGTGTTTGCAGGGGTGGATCCAGAGATATTTTCTGACAGTCTTCCAAATTATCTTTGTTGATCCATCCTCATTTTTGACCGTCTTCCGACAGAAAAAGTTAGATACCCGTCTATGTAAACTTGAAAATCTATCCGTCTTCCGGAAGACCCAGAAGACGGCCTAAATCCGCCCCTGTGTTTGTGTGTGTGTGTGCGTGTGTGTGTGTGTGTCATTATGACTTTATCAACCTCTAATCCTCTTTTCGAGATGTAGGCTTATTGTGCTTTCTCATAAACCAGACTATAATTCAAACCGAAGCGTCCGCACGGAAAGTAGGTGACCTCTTCATCATTATGTAAATCGGCTGAGCGTTCTTAGTGACAGGTGCTCAGTAAGGATCAAGGTCGATACAAGATGGGAAAGAAGGGTGTCCCATGCCATATTACTGCTACTGCCACATGTAAGCCGAACAGATGGCACTGAATCCGGCAGCAGTATCTCGTAAGTTCAAAACAGATGATAGAAAATGTATTATAGCATTTCTTAGTTTTGCATTGACGATATTTTCTCGAAATGGTGCACTCTAGGCAAAATGGCCATGGGGACATCTACTGGTAACTGACGCGAAGGATACTTTCTATTGGCTTTCCCTTTGAGCTTTTTGGGCACCGTTTTGTTTCTGATACCAGTTCTTTTCCATGATATATATATATATATATATATATATATATATATATATATATATATATATATATTTGTATAATTTCAAAGCTTAATTGCGCTTTGTTAATTATAACGCAAAAGATGCTGACACGATTGCTGTATTGAGCATATCTGCTTTATCAGATCTTTAGACATTGTTTCATGAATGTGAATTTATCCCTTTAATTCCAGTACGGTTTACGAAGATACCAGAAGCGTCCTACTCAGAGACACGTTTTGTGTTCGACACATATACAGCCCCACACCCATGCCAAGATTTCCTGCTATGCCGACGTTTGTCTGCTCGTTAATTTGCAGGGTCGACATTTAGTGCAGAATGTTTTGTTTGCTTTCGGTTGAAACATTCTGCCCCAAAACGTATATCAAATTAAAAGTCGAATAAAATAACTGTAACTTAACACCTGTAAATGTCCATCATGTCGTGTACAAACGTGTTCCCCAAACGTATCCTTAGCTGGCTCTCTTTTGGGCCCCAAACTTTTTCTGCGGTATAGTCTTCATTTCCAAACCTGCCAGTATGACGTTCGGGGGAGGGGAGGGGGTTAATTGCTGTAGTTTGTAACTCCTTGTAATACTTAATGTAAAGTCTAAAGAGGCAGAGTAGGCTTGTTGACTATACTGATTAAGAAGCCATTGATGTTTATATTAAACCTACAGTTTTAAATAGTCATTCCGAAACGTGCCCTTAGCTGTCTCTCTTTTGGCCTCTAAATTAATTTCTTTGGTATATAGTTTTTATTCGGAAACATGCTAATACACTGTATGACGTTCGGTGGGGTGGGGTTGTGGGTTATTAAAAACCAATTTTTATTGGTTTAAACGGCCATGTGAAGTATCCGCGAGATCGACGGGTAAGGTGATACTTCTCGGCATGAATTGAAAAAGACAAATTGATCAATTACAGGGTATTCTCTAGTATATTGCTTATAATTCGCTATTCTCTTATGCTCCCCCTCCCACCCTGACCTCTTATAATAGATACTCATTTCTTAAATATATGAAAAATGAGAGCGTAAATTAACTTATCTCAACTGCACTCCGGGGAATCATTCCTTAAGAAAGTAAACGTTTGAGTCACGTTACCGACGCTTACGTTTTACAAAACGTTTTTATTAGTGTTTCATATCACTTTTAATAACTGTTGGCTGCTTTCCCTGTTAGAGGGTACATATACAATTACATAAACCAGAGAAAATAATGGAACGTGTCATACATTTATGCCGATATTAAACGAAATATGCGTGGCTCCCATTTTCACATTTTGTTGAAAGTTTTTTTAACATTGAACATAATATTTTTGGGTTAGAGTGTCTACATCTGTAGCGGTGTTTTAAAGGGTCATGATGTTAAAAGGTTTGAGACGCACCATCATGACAGCGAGTGAGGACCCCTCCCCCACACACACACAATCACCCACGAATTGTCTTGAACACGAGTACGCCATATAAATATTGTAGTAGTATTGAGCATCCTTAAAAAGTCACGCAGCAAAACTTTTGTGTTCTTTAAAAAATGTTAGAATATTTTATAGCAAATACAATACGAATTTAAATAATTGTAATGCATTTCTTTCTAACATTCAGTTTACATACGTATTTTGGTAGCCTCTAAAGGTTTTAAACCTGAAAAATTGGAGAACATAACAAAGTCAGCCAAGGACACGTTTTGGGAACACGTTTAAACACGTCATGATGGACATTTACAGGTGTAGGACCAGAACAGAGCCACTTGTAAACAGTTTAGAACCAAGGGACCGAGTTTGATTTGAGGACAAGTGTCTGCCCTGCATGATGCTGTTTTGCTTCTTTTGGTTATGTATGTTACTAAATAGTAATGCAGTACTCTATTGATCATGGTGTCATGAGGGTAATTTATGTATACTTTTGGGTCGGGGTTGATACCCGTCCCTTTCCGAACCTCAATCGTTAAATTTAACAGAAATAATGTCTGTATGAAAATGATAGCGATTGATTACTCTCATGATAAAACGGAGAATAAAGGCTTGTGATCAAGCAAATGGAATTAATTTTGGAAGACATATTTGATACAAAAGTTAAAAGCTGGCTTTAAATGGCTTGATTATTTATACCAGACTTCATTCTTTTATCGCTGTAAACAACTTATCCCAGTCTACTGGGTCCGCAATGGGATGATTTTTTTTAAACTGAGCAGGCATTTTAAAATTGCCAGGATTACCCATACAACAGGTATGACAGAACATGCCTGCCTGGCCAAATCTGCATCTACCACCTGGTTGATTTTCACTGCCTTGACCTGCTCATCAAAATCAGGCCTTCCCAACTACCAGACTCGGCACCTACGGGTCCAGTATAAACCGGTTTATCAGACCACACTACCCGTTTTCAAGGTGTGTGTCAGATCGCATTACAGAGTATCAGCCACCACACCGATTTTGCCTGGTACGCGATGTGATAGCAATGATCCTAAGCGGGGCTGGAAAGTAGTGCATCTCATCTAGATTCATGCGCTGCTGCAATTTTCTCTGTTTATGCTAAAATCTGACAGTACCGCGATTTTTAACATAAAATTTAGGTTCGGACATAGCCATTGATGTTTTGTAAATAAGAACTTGCAAACTTATATATTAATTTAGAAAAGTAGACCTAATTTTGATAGCAGAAGCATATTCTGTCGGGGGTTAAATATTTTCGTGACTACCGGGATGGACGAGATTGAGGTCAGGGGTAATCCTAGAGAGGGGTGAGAAACGTCCATTGTTCTCGTCAGCGAGGCTGTCCTTTTTCAGGGTTTGTACGCACGGACAGAAAACTTAAGTATTGTGGGAACGTTACTAATGAAGCCACTGGTAGTACTAGTAGATATCAGCCTGTAGTCTTGAACAAGCGCCTCGATGACGAGTGAACAGTTGTCAAAAACAAAAGACCCAGGTGTGGTAGTTCAACTACTGTTGATGCGTGCCGCAACGACCAAACCTAATTGCTCCTCAAGGTCACAAAACAATAACCGGTACTGACGGCTAGGCTCGTCTTAATCATATAAGTAGCGCGTTTCCACCCCCTGATTGAGGGAGTCGTCTGTTGTATTCATGCGACTCCTACTTGACGAAAACGAGGCGCGATACCCGGATGACAGGTAGGCTTACAGAATTTGTGATAGGGTATGATACTCTTTTATGCGATCTGACACACACCTTGAAAACGGGTAGTGTGGTCAGATATACCGGTTTATTCTGGACCCGTAGGTGCCGAGTCTGGTAGTTGGGAAGGCCTGAAAATGCTCAGTGAGAAGAGCAATGATGTTAATAGCTTCTTCCGGCATATAATGCCCTGGGATGTAGTCTCTAAAGGCAACACGCACCTATTCACAATAAAAGAAAGAAAATAAATCCCACGTCTGAAGAGAGTGGAGGTATTACTCGCCGACTTGCAGTCTGCATTATGATGCGTTTGGGACTTCCATATAAAATGCCCTGCAATATTTTGTAATACTGAAATGTGATCTGTAAATAGCAGTTTGGAACATCCTATATTCACACAAAAGCATGTAAACAGGCCAACAAACACAGGTAAAGGGACTGATGTAATGAAGCCCGAGCATTCTCTTTTTGTAAAGCTTTTTTTTTTTTTTTTTCTTTTTGTTACTCGGTAGAATGAATGAAAAAGATGTATTCTGGTTCTCTCACAAGTTTTATTTCTTGAAGATACAGAAAACACTGGTACACAAGCGATAGCGACTCGCCTGCGTTTCAAGAGTGCGGCCCAACAACAATTTAATTAAGGCTATACTTTTTGTAATACCGAAAAGAGAAACCATTAACTGCCAATCTTCGACAAGGGGTCTTTAGAGTTGACTAAGTACTTTTGCATTAATACTGACAGATAGCCAGACAACAATGTTCTTTTAGGAAATTGTCATAAAAATATCATTTGGACATCTGCCAAACCAAAGCCTCAACAGTGTTATAGTAATATAAATAAGCACTTTTAGTATGAGAGATCTACACAGCAAATGTGGTCCACAAACATTACCATTTGAGCAGCTTAAAGGGAGTCTAGTTCAGGTCTATAAGCAGGCCCGTAGCCAGGGGGGGGTCGGGGGGTTCGAAAGAACCGCCCCTTTTGCTGGAAAAAGGTCCACTCTGGGTAAAATTTTATCTAGGTACATGAAGATTTTATGGGAAAAGGTCCACTTTTTCAAAAAAAGAACCCCCCTTTTGAAATTGCTGGCTACGGGCCTGATAAGGATAAAGAAAAGAAAAAAGAACTTGTCAGCAATTTTCATTTCAGAACCAACATATTTTTTCTTGAAACAATAAAAAATTACACACATCAATTAGTTATGAATACTTCTTTTTTAGCTGAAATATTGCCCATAAATAACGATTCTTTAAATGACTAATCGATTGGACTGGCTGCACTACATCATGAAATTTCTAGAAATAAACCACGAGTTCCATATAACCGTCCTCTTAGTTGTACTGAAAGCTCCGCTTAAAAGATGCACTGGATTCATAGTATAATATTAGTTATAATGTCGTAATATTTAGAATAAGGGATTTGTAATAACACATATTTCTGTGACATTAAAGGAAAAACATTCATTTAGGTAATGGTAATCTTTGCGGGTTGATTTTCTGGGTCACTGATATGTCTTACTCAAAGTGAAATGAAGTCAACGATAATTGATCGCTTTCATTTTTCAGTAAAAAAAGATATTATACATATTATTAATCAATCTACAAGAGTACAAAATTGTCGATACGAAGGTGCCGTTGTCAGCCTGTTGCCAACCTATGTACATGCACACTTATTTTCGGCCTCCATTCCCTCTTTTTTAATGCCCTTTAGCTACAGTTATATAATTACTCTCATGGTCAAAATAGAGAATATAGGCTTGTGATCAAACAGATTGAAATAATTTTGAAAGATATATTTGATACAGAAGTTAAAATCTGACTTCAAATGGCTTGGTTATTTGTTCATTTGTTCCAAACCTCATGCTTTTATAGCTGTTAACAACTTATCCCAGTCTACTGGGGCCCGCAATGGGACGATTTTCTCAAACTGAGCAGGTATTTTTATATAGTCAGGATTACCCGATACAACAGGTATGACAGAACATGACTGCCTGCCTTGATCTGCACCTACTGCCTGATTGATTTCCACTGCCTTGGCCTGCTCATCAAAATGCTCGGTCAGAAGAGCAATGATTTTCCGAGACTTCTTCATATTGCTAATAGCTTCTTCCGACACATATTGCCCTGGTATGTAGTCTCTAAAGGCAACACACACCTATTCATAATAAGAAAGAAAATAATTTTACGTTACAAGTTATTTGAAATATGACAACAAATTATGACAAAAGTGAAAAAGCCTACATATTGTAGAGCCTATTGTATATATAGCAGGCAATTTTGACCAATTCCGTACAGTTTAATGTGCGACTTAACAGCATATCCCAATATACATGCATAGATATAGATGCCATATATTGCCACGGATGCTATTACTTTCTGACCAATGATTTTACTCTGCGAGGGGAGACAAGGGATGAAATCTTTTGTGCCTCACCTTAAGCTCATTTTCCTCCTCAAGTCCTGGGAGAAACACATCATTAATCAACTTTTCATCTTCCTCAGATCCAGAGTAAAGAATAAAAACGTCGTAAATTGGCATTTTTCCGGATGGGACATCTGTCATATGGCAACCAGCTGAAACGAAAAGACAATCATTTTCAATAAACGTACTCTACATGGGTACTTGAAAATACGAATACGTAGTTAGATGTCATTGCACTCACCAATTAAGTGAATATTTTACTTTATTTTCTCTAAAATTTGTGTTTTCCGTGGTCGTTTGCATCTGTCTATTCTTTTCAGCTTCTTTCATCTCCGTGGAGAAATCATCGTGCATTTTCACAGACATTAAGAATTTAGAAATTGTTCTTATATATATATTGCCTGCTTTTAGTTAAATGGTCTGCCTTCTGATAATTCCACTTACCCTCTATTTTATCCTTTGCTATTTTGGGATCAACCAACCGATTATCGCCAAACCGAACATGAAACTTAGCCTTCTTTAATGTCTGAAAAACTGCCTGGCCCAGCCGGTTAGAATGAAGGCAACATAATCTCAATTTAGGTAATTTTGCAAGCTTTTCTGCAGGGATATCCTGCAGGCAATTCTCTGACACACAAATAACTTCAAGGGACTTAACATTTCCGAGAGACTCTGGGAGACGCCTTAATCGGTTCTGTTTTAATCTGATGTACTTCAGATTCTGAAAGTAAACATGTATTAAGGTAAAGAGAGTTTGATGGGGCCTTGCTTTTTTTCACATTATTATTATTATGCAACTCAAGAATCTCAGGTCTATAGCCTTTATTGAAAGAAATATATGACGCCAACGTATCCATCAAATTGACTTCTCAGTAAATATTGCTAACAGGCCTATTAAAGGTCAATTACACAAATGACAAATAAACTACGTGGAAACACATACCTGTAGCTGATCAATTTCATCGGGGATAGACTGTAATTCATTGTAGGACCCATCGAAATGTGTCAGTTCTCTCAACTTGAAGATATTTGGAGGCAAGGTCCTGATTTTATTTCCGTTTAAATACAACTCCTTCAGTTTCAAGTCTTTGAAGTCCAGGTGCGCTAAAACATTTAGTTTTATTTTACAAATTACGTGCTTTGTATTGACAAAATATAGTAATGCATTTTTATTGTAACATTAATCACATGTGAAAAATGCATAGTTGGTTTACGGTTTACTGTCACAAGTGTCATTGGATAATACGACATTAAAATCACACTTTGACTGAAAACACCGATTCATTCAACTTTAATAGTCTGACGTTCATTTGTTTCTGATGAAAACTGTAATGGAACGAAATTTAGAATAAAGCACGTCCAAAAAAAAACATCCTTGTTATATTTAACGGTGAAACACAGTTATGGTCCTACAAAATACTTAATATACTTCATAATTAATATTTTCATTTTTTTATTATTAATTTATTTAATTTTAAAGTTTTAAAAAACCTTTTGGATTTAATTTTTTGTTTTTAGACTTACTTCTACAAAATAGATTAAAAGAAAGCAAAATCCAAGAGGGTAATGATCCAATTCTCCTGTGTTATTTTCCTGATTCTTAAAAAAACTGGTACTTAAATCTCTCTCTCTCTCTCTCTCTCTCTCTCTCTCTCTCTCTCTCTCTCTATATATATATATATATATATATATATATATATATATATATATATACCCAGGCCAAATCTATAGTCCCTTA